AAAACCCTAAACACAGGCCCTGAGGCCTTGAAACCCTAAACGCTGGGCCCCTGAAACCCTAAACACAGGCCCTGACACCCTAAACACAGGCCCTGAGGCCTTGAAACCCTAAACACAGGCCCTGAGGCCCTGAAACCCTAAACACAGGCTTTGAGGCCTTGAAACCCTAAGCTGGGCCCTGAAACCCTGAAACCCTAAACGCAGGCCCTGAGGCCTTGAAACCCTAAACACAGGCCCTGAGAGGCCTTGAAACCCTAAACGCTGGGCCCTGAAACCCTAAACACAGGCCCTGAGGCCCTGAAACCCTAAACACAGGCCGTGAAGCCTTGAAACCCTAAACGCTAAACACAGGCCCTGAGGCCCTGAAACCCTAAACACAGGCCCTGAGCCCTTGAAACCCTAAACCCTAAACACAGGCCCTGAGGCCTTCAAACCCTAAACACAGGCCCTTCGGGTCTCAAGGGCATTTTTGGGCTTTGGGCCTTGCCCACGAATCTTTGGGCCTTGCCCCACGAATTTTTGGGCCTTGCCCACGAATTTTTGGGCCTTGCCCACGAATACTTGGGCCTTGCCCACCAATTTTTGGGCCTTGCCCACGAATATTTGGGCCTTGCCCACGAATATTTGGGCAACATTTGGGCCTTGCCCACGAATTTTTGGGCCTTGCCCACGAACCAACAGGCCCAAAATTCGTGGGCAAGGCCCAAAAATTCGTGGGCAAGGCCCAAATCCATTTTTGGGCCTTGCCCACGAATATTTGGGCCTTGCCCGCGAATGTTTGGGCCTTGCCCACGAATATTTGGGCCTTGCCCACGAATTTTTGGGCCTTGCCCACGAATTTTTGGGCCTTGCCCACGAATATTTGGGCCTTGCCCACGAATTTTTGGGCCTTGCCCACGAACCAACAACCCCAGAAATTCGTGGGCAAGGCCCAAAAATTCGTGGGCAAGGCCCAAAAATTCGTGGGCAAGGCCCAAAATCCGGATTTTGGGCCTTGCCCACGAAGATTTGGGCCTTGCCCACGAAGACCATTAAGGTTTATAATTATATGGTAGGAGAGGTTTAGGGTTTAGGGTTTAGGGTTTAGGGTTTAGGGTTTAGGGTTCAGGGTTTAGGGTCTAAAGGTTGCCCCTCAGACGTGATGTCGCAAGCGTCGCAAGGAGAGTCCCAAGAGTCCCAAGCGGCGCTGCCTAGGCCCGGCCCTGGGTTCAAGCGTTGCACGCTCGGAAGCTTCCGGTGTTGGGGGTTGGATCTCATGTCAGGGTTGGGTTTAGGGTTTAGGGTTTAGGGTTTAGGGTTTAGGGTTTAGGGTTTAGGGTTTAGGGTTTAGGGTTTAGGGTTTAGGGTTTAGGGTTTAGGGTTTAGGGTTTAGGGTTTAGGGCTGTGAGAGGTCGCCTCTGCCGCCGTTTTCGCCGCTTCCGCCGGCAGCTGTGGAGGGGCATCCGGAACGAGGCTCTGTAGGGAGCGGGGCTACATCCCCCTTGGGAAGTATTTTTTTGATTTTAAACCCAACAAGATATTAAAATATTATGACTTGTTAAGGTTCTAAGGGGAGTGAAGGGGTAGGCAACTGCTTGGCGGCATTGTCGGGTCTCGCGGGTGGGAGTTGCTTGGGGGTTCTAGGCCCTCGTTTGGATGCTCTTCGCTGCTATCTTCGAAGAGCACTAAGACAGAGCCTTTGCTGTTGGTTGCCACAAACCCTAAACCCTAAACCCTAAACCCTAAACCCTAAACCCTAAACCCTAAACCCTAAACCCTAAACCCTAAACCCTAAACCCTAAACCCTAAACCCTAAACCCTAAACCCTAACCCTAAACCCTAAACCCTAAACCCTAAACCCTAAACCCTAAACCCTTTTGTCCTCAGGTGAAGGGATGCTGTGGGAGCACGGTCACGGGAAAGGCCCTGTATTTCGTGCTCTGGCTGCAGAAGCGTTCTATGTCAGACGAGTCCGTATAGTGTCAGTGTGTTGGCAAACGAGAGCCCAAGTTCTTGGACTTTCCGAGGGTGCGAATACATCGTTATTTGCAGTGTTTCGTGCACATGACATGCGTTTAACATCGGTATCTACAACACTTCCTGGCTTCGCTGTGTGCCAATGGCCAGAGCATCCAAATACATCGTTATTTGCCGTGTTTCCTGCACGTGACATGCTACAAACATCGGTATTTACGACGCTTCGTGGCTTCGTTGCGTGCGACTGGCCAGAGCATCCATGTCCGCACGATGATAACGTCCGTGTTACCAGAGCATCCATGTCCGCGCATGCATGTCCGCACGATGATAACGTCCATGCAAAAGCATCGGTATTTACGACACTTCGTGCCTTTCTTCTGCCGGGGTAAAAAGCAGTTCTGCCTGCAAATACACAACATTTCCGTGCAGAAATGTCGGGTTTTTGGGGTTTGCAAGCTTGCCATTCCTCTAGACACTACCAGACATTGTTCGTGCCACCTCTCATCACCCGAACTGGACGCGAAAGAAACTCGGGTTTTTGCTGTTTTGTACTTGGTATTCCCGTGTTGCGGCGACGCCATGTTCAACTGGAAAAAAGTACGATTTCATCGCCCCTGCCATGCTTCTCAACAACTGCCCCGACAAGAAGCGGGGCAAACGATGGTGATTCACCCAAGTTCTTGTTCCCCAAATTGAGAGCCCTACTCAGAGCTTCGAAGCTCTGAAACGTACATCTCATACCTCAGCTGCAAGCGCCGCAGGGCAGGAGAGAGGTTTAGAGTTTAGGGTTTAGGGTGGGGGGAGGGGGGTTGCGGGTTGCGGCTCACTTGGCAGGATTCCGGGGCTGCTGTAGGCCAAGCCCATCAAGTTTAGGGTTTAGGGTTTAGGGTTGGGGGTAGGGTTTAGGGTTTGGGGTTTGGGGTTTGGGGTTTCGGGTTTCGGGTTTCGGGTTTGGGGTTGGGGTTTGGGGGTTGTCATTGATCATGCTCCAGTTCTCGAGGTTGTCTTGTGCCGGCCCACGGGCACAAGTAGCACTTGGTCCAGCCGTCGCCAACCCCCAAGGGTAGCTGAGAAGAAGAAGAAGAAGAAGAAGAAGAAGAAGAAGAAGAAGAAGAAGAAGAAGAAGAAGAAGAAGAAGAAGAAGAAGAAGAAGAAGAAGAAGAAGACGAAGAAGTAGCAGAAACGGAAGAAGAAGGAGAAGAAGCTCAAGAAGTATCACTACTGAGCGAGGCTACGACTCCCTGATAGCTCGCTTCCCGTAACGTGTATGAAAGTTTTTGTTACGAAGAATTCTACAGGCTTTGCAGCTCAATTAGTTTGAGGTGTTCCGTTTAGATCGGAGTTCCCGGGCACGAAGTGCTTCATTTGCGGTTTGCACATCGCTAAAAAACGCCGAACTACTCCAATTCAGTCTCCCAACCCAAGTCCAGGGCTGTGTTCACGTTCCACTGTCAAACCTCAACATCATGGCACGGCACCCTAACATTTCTTGCTTGTTGGGAAGCTCGAATTCTGACATCTGGAACCCTAAACCCTAAACCCTAAACCCTAAACCCTAAACCCTAAACCCTAAACCCTAAACCCTAAACCCTAAACCCTAAACCCTAAACCCTAAACCCTAAACCCTAAACCCTAAACCCCACTTTGGACACGGCGAAGATCCCGAGTCTCAGGTGTTCACCCGTCATCCCGACCAAGTCCGCGAGAGCCTCTGGAAATCCATGCGGGGCATGCTCGACGCCTGGTTTGCCAAAGATGGAGGCCCATCGGCAGAAGCCGTACACCCCCCGCAACCTGGAAAGCCGGGATCTGGACTGGGATGAAGGGAAGGAAGAGGCGTCGAGCCAAACTCATTCCTCACACCTTGTGACAGTTCAGGCCCCTAGCGATAAACCCTAAAACCTAAACCCTAAATCCAAAACTCCCAAGCTTCCCAAATGCCTTAAGCTGCCAGGCGGCGAGTATGCCAGACGGAACAGGCAGAAGCAGCGGCGTCATGGAGTGCCTTGGCCTAGAGCTTGTCTCGTCAACTCAGGCAGCAACTAAGCCCGAAGGCGTCAAGCCTCAGCCTAAGCCGAAAGCGCTCAACCCTAAGCCCAAAAAGTCCTTACGGCGCGCTCTCATTCTGCATGTCGGGTTCCTGCTTCAGAGTTTTGGGGTTCGGGGTGAAGCCTTAGGGAATAGGGTTTGTAGAGGAGACCGGTTGTGACATCGTCTGGGCAGGTGGCTTTGCAGCTTCCGTTTGGCTTAGGTTTGGGAGGTTCAGGCTTCGAGCTTTGGGGAGGCAATCCGGACCCCAGACAGGGGTTCCGCGATTCCGCACGGGTGTCCCGAAAAGTACCGCCCCAAAACCTGCGTTGCGCGGAAGGTGCAGCTCGCCGGGAAGAAGTCGGGTGCCGAGGGCCCAGGCTTTGGCATACATTGCGCCGCGGCTGCAGACGGAGGTTTTGTTTTTGGCTCAGTGCGGTACCGCATGGAGCCAATTTTGTCGTTGGGAAGGACACGAATTAGGCGTGTACTGTGATGTTCGTCTTCCCCAACCTGCGGTGTGTACATTTTAGCTAAGTGGTTCTCCGGGGTTGTTCTCGGGTCACCCGCCCCGGGTCTACTCTCACATCCACAAAGGGAGTGGCGCAGGGACGGAAATCCCCAAAAAGGACATCTGTAAGGTGGCTGCTGTGTGCGCAGAAGGCGCGGCAGCGGCGCATGATAGGTGCCCACACATTTGTTTTGCTGCAAAGACTGGAAAAAGATTGCTCCGTCTCAAGTCGCAACAGCAGATAGACTGGAAAAGGTTTAAGAAGGAGATGCATGCCAACGGAGCAATAAATGGGATGGATCCAGCGGAAGCAGTCATCATGAATCAATGCGCGGGGAAAGTAGGAGGTCCCCAAATGGGGCAAGCGGCAAAGGCAAAATGATGAATGCCATCTATTCCAAGGGTGTTCACGGTGCTCTGACGGACGTTTGGTTTCCCACTTTTGGTGATCAAATCGTGTCGTCTTTTGACATTGCAATCGTGGGTACTGAGATCTCCGAAAGCCATGGGCGGGCTTACCGGTAGAATTCCCTCTGTCGGCACTCCGATAAGAGTCTTTGGCATCCACGAGGCTTCATCATCAACAACTCTGGTGACATTGTGGCTTGGACCTGTTCAGGTTTTCGCAGATTACACGGACACCTGCTGCATGGACACCAGCTTGCCTCTGGAGTGTGCAAGCCTTCTTCGGTTGAAGGTAGAAGCCCCTTTTTGTACTCATCCCGCGGATTCAGGACGACTTCTACCAGGTTCAGGAGGAGGTCCGGCCCCCGATGGTGCTTGTCCAGCAGTTGAGCAGTTGGGTCCGTGGTCAGGATTCGCTGAAACTGGGAGCATGACGCCCAGCGCAAACTTCAACCTTTTGGGACCTCAGGTCAACGCAGGTGGCTCCGCGCAGGTGTTCAAGGCTGTGGAGCTGGCAACCAAGGCCTTTGGGGTCGGGGGCTTTACAGCAAGTGAGTGGATTGTTTTAGGGTTTAGGGTTAGGGTTTAGGGTTTACGGTTTAGGGTTTAGGGTTTAGGGTTTAGGGTTTAGGGTTTACTTAGGGTTTAGGGTTGAGGGTTTAGGGTTTAGGGTTTAGGGTTTAGGGTTTAGGGCATCTCAATGGTCGTTGCACCGAATCGGCTCTTGAGGCCGTGCGGGCCGTGAAGCGGATTGCCAAGAAGAGCCCCGGGCACAGCTCTTGCAGGGTTGAGTTTTGTCGGGGCGAGGGCGGGCCCTATCTGTTGACATGTCCAAGACCGCTTTGCGTATGTAGTTTGTTCTTTATTTTTATGCGCTGAGCAGCACAAACCCTGCACCCGATGCTTATGTTGCACGTGCCGCAATTCGGAAACTTCGCGCAATGCACCCCCGCCCTGAGGTAGTGGAGAGATTGCGCGCGTCATCCAGGAGGTGGCTGTCATGAAGACCCTGGACCACCCCAACATTGTCAAGCTTTTCGACCCTCGAAACGAATGGGAATAGCAACAGTAATCTTGGTGTATTGGTGTTCTCTCTCTCTCTCTCTCTCTCTATATATATATATATATAATATTTACACGGAGTCCAGGAAATCATCCGTGGATCCGTTCAGGGAGATGGGGGATCATTCGTGATAATTGGGATGAATCCTTGCGGTTCGCCAAATTTGAGTTGAGATGAGTGAGGGAGTATAGGCTGCCACCAGAAGCAAGGAACGTGGTTTAGCGTGCAAGGCTCTTTAGTTCAGCTTCAAAGCTACAAGAAGTGCTGTTGACCATGCCAAACGCGCAGCTTTGCCACAAGGCCCAGGAAGATTACAAGCAGGATATCAGAATGCTTGCAGCGGAAATGGATACGGCCCTTTATGCACAACATTGCACAACTGTCCTCCGACCAGTGGCTTACGAACTGGTCAGCAATTCCCCATTCATCCCTTCAACAAGCCCGACATTCTTGTGCTTGGTCAAGGGCAAGGGCGTGACTTTGACCTTCATCCAACCGTTGTCCCTGCACCAACAACCATCCAACAATCCTGTGCCGACCATAGCAACGACTCATGCACCCATGACTGGCAAGCCCGAACCAATGCAGAACCAGTGCAGAAAGCCGCGAACGATGCTAGGAATTTTGCATTGCGTTGCGCTGCCCTGCGCAACAAGACTTTCAGTTCGGCAGCGAGGTTTACAGAATATACAACGGCTTTTTGACGGTTTTTGGTTTTGCCTTTTGTTTCTTCTTTTTTTTAGCTAACTTTGGGGCTTCCGGGTTCCGTTGAAGTCCTGAATTGTAGCCTTTCGCCTTTTCGCTCTCACCTCTCAGGAAACATTCGAGGACGACGATTACTTGTGGCCCAGCGAACGTTCAGTTCTGTTTGAAGAGATTTTTGACTTCTTCCATCCCATGCGGGATCCCCCTTGCCTAGCCTGCAGGCCGGTAACCCTTAGAATCCCTAAACCCTAAACCCTAAACCCTAAACCCTAAACCCTAAACCCTAAACCCTAAACCCTAAACCCTAAACCCTAAACCCTAAACCCTCAGGCTAAGGGTTCCTTGAAGTTCGGGGTTCAGGTTCCGGGTCCGGGACTTGCTTCAAGTTGGCGCTTGGGGATCGGGTCTTGGGATGCTCAGGGTAGTGAGGCTGAAGGCTTAGGGGCTTAGGGATTTAAGGGGCTTAGGGGTTTAGGGTTTAGGGTTTAGGGGCTTAGGGGTTTAGGGTTTAGGGTTTAGGGTTTAGGGGCTTAGGGGTTTAGGGTTTAGGGTTTAGGGTTTAGGGTTTAGGGGCTTTTTAGGACCTAGGGCTTGAAGCACTAGGATGATGACCTTCTTTTTAAACTCGGGTATGGTGCGCTGAGTCATGTCAGCCCCGAAGCCATGCACTTCAAAGGGTGCTTCAGCAGCTTGCACAGAAGGTATTTGGTTCTTGAGTACTGTGCCGGTGGCGACGTGCTCGACAACTTGCTCTTGAATGGCATCATGGACGAGCTCGCGTTCATGCCTCAGCCTTTCCACTGCCCCAAACCCAAGCCCTGAGTTGCCAGTGCACAAGTACAGAGCAGCACACAGGAGACAAAAGCTTGGGCTGTAGGGTTTAGGGTTTAGGGTTTAGGGTTTAGGGTTTAGGGTTTAGGGTAACAAAAGCATGCTCAAGAAGACAGCACAGTCGGCATAACGCACCATGAGTACAACTGACAGATTCGACCAGCCAGAAAGCCCCAACCGGTTTAGGGTTTAGGGTTTAGGGTTTCGGGTTTAGGGCTTAGGCAACTGCACGGTGAACAAAGGTGAGTCGCTACTCGCAGCGTGTGCACTCAAACCTCGACACTCGTCGTGTGGCAGGTTTCCGTGGCCTTGACTGTGTCAACCCATTCTTTGGGGTCCGCGCCAACGTGTTAAAGTCCCTTGCAGATTTGCCCAAAGAGCCCAATACCCCTTAACTAAGGAATATTCCTTAGATCATAATAAGGATCCCTTCATGATTTAAGCTCTATTCCTTAATCAAGGGGTATTGGGCTCTCTGGGTGTGTATGTGTAAGGACTCCTTCTGTCTCCAGCACCTGTTTAGAGGGGTTAAAGCTCCGAAGCAAACCCAATCGACTCCACGGCCGCCCGCAGTGAGCTAGGTCTGCGTTGGTGATGCGTGGGATGCTCTCGGCGCCCGTTCCCCACAGCAGGGTCAGAAGGGGTTTAGAGTCTTGTTCCGAGGAAGACTTCGAATCCAGGAAGGTTGGTGGATTGATGTGCCCGGAGAAATGCAACTCCTGTGAGTTCGGGGGAGTTTTGGGATTCTCTGCAAGCTTTTTTCCATGAGGTGTTTGAGGGTTTGGGGGGCGCGCTTCAGAGGGGCTCTCAGCCCCTAAAGAGAACACGAGAGAACACGAGCAAAATTCGTCTCAGCCCCCCAGTCTCCCTTCCCCCCCCCACCCCCACAGTTGACTCCTTGAGGCCATCGTCTGAGGGCTCAGAGCACTATCTTGCTCCAGCAAGCACTGAAGCCTCACAACCCCTCAACATCGCGAACTCCACGGAGCTGCTCTACATCCGGAGCCCCCACGTGAGAAGCAACTCTCAGTCCCAAGGCTGAACTACCTCAATGCCAATGGCTATGTCCACCGCGACCTCAAGCTGGATTCCCAGCTGCTTCTGCTAAGCCTGGTAGGTGCCTTCCCATCATCTTCCCACGACATTCTTGGGGTTCCCTGTAGCCACCCCCGCTATGAACGCGAAGCCAAAGGGCAGATCCTGAGCACGGCGCGCCAAGGCCGGAGAACATCATGTACAAGGCCAGGCAGGGAGTTCCATTTCGCACCAGGGGAAGCCGTGCAGACCCCCCGAACTCCTGAAGTCCCGATCCCCAGAGACCGCCTCAAAGTCCCTAATGTGGCGGGTCGGAATAAATGCTAAACGTATTCCCTTATGGTCCCTATATAGCTAAAAGTATTCCCTTATGGTCCTTATATATATATATATATATATATGTTTAGATTTACACTAGAATAGCCCTCCCAAAACCCTGTTCTAATTCTGAAGGCCCCCATGTGAAGGAATGGGCATGGGTTAGGCACAAACCAATCCCAGCCCCACTCGATGGCTTTGAGGAGTTTGCCAGCTCTTGGCATCCGAGGCCGAGAGGGCCGAGCGCATGGTCTCACAGCTCCGTCTCGTCGACTTCGGCTACTCCTGCCGGGCCCCCGATGCTGCTTGGCCTGGAATGGTGAGCACACGGCAGGGACTTGGGGGGTTGGGTTGTGGGGGCTTCTGAGAAAGGCTTCTCTCACGGAGCTTTACAACAAATTTTGGGAAGTTTACGGGGCCTTGAGACCTCGTCTGATTAGCGCGGTTTAGGGCTCCGTCTCTCTGAGTTCCAAGATTCCTAACAGGTTTCCGTGGCGGCTTAGCCTGTCCTCCCCCCCTTACCCCCTAGTATTGAAGGCCCCCCCCGTATACTCTAATATATCCATAGTAGGGGCATTTAAGGTTAAGGGGTAGGGGGGTTTAATATCTGGGGGAGGGGATCAACTCCATTCATCCCGGCTCCTAAGCTCGAACCCAGATCCCTGCCGACAGGAGGGAAAGGCGCTCAACACGAAAGTGGGAAGCCCGTATTATGCCAGGAGCCGAGGGCACAGAGAGAGGCCTCGGGCAACTTGAGGTCCCAAGGCCCTGTCGGATGATTTGGGCACTCTAGAGACTCTCGAGATATCCCGGGCTGTGCGAAAAGATTTCGGCGATGTTTTCGATCGTGCTCAGGCTACGTACGACGGGGCCTTTCAGCATTTCTGGAGTTTGGGTCCTTGGGTTTGACTCTGAGGGTGTAGAGAGGAATCTAGACATCCTGAAACATACTGGAGGAAATACCCTTACAGTAAACCCTAAACCCTAAACCCTAAACCCTAAACCCTAAACCCTAAACCCTAAACCCTAAACCCTAAACCCTAAACCCTAAACCCTAAACCCTAAATACCCGAACTTCTCCGAAGTCTCATCGTCCTCCGCTCGTCTTCAGCGCCTTGGCTTGCAACTCCGAGGTGGCTCCGGAAGTCCTCTCCGGCAGCTATGGCCGAGAGTGCTGGGCCTGATTCGGGTTTAGGGTTTAGGGTTTAGGGTTTAGGGCTGAGGGTTTCGTGATGTGGAGAGGAGGGGTGGCGGCAAGTTTGAGAGGCTAGCTTTGGTGAACTCTTGGCTTCCATTTGGCGCTTGGTAAGGCCAGCGGTCCTTGGCGAGTGTACCTTGTGCTTTATTGGGCGTTGTTCGGGGTTTGCTGATGAGGTTTGGACCCTTTGTCTGTTTTGGGGACGTGAAGCTTTAGGGCGTGATGGCTGCTAGGTTTTGCCTTGTTTAGGTTGTAGGGTAACCAGTGGGCCGAAGATAATGATAGGGTGTCAGACCAGAATTCAGCAGAGCTATCGGCACGCGTCGTGCCCCATGGGCAGGGTTGTGGGCTCATCCGCTGCCGTGGTTAGATAATGTCTATACTCACCTTTGCCTTTCTAGCCGTCTGCCATTTCGCTTTGCTTGTTTCCTCAACTGGCCTTCCTACGTCTGTAACTTCCTAAGCTGGGAGGCCGTATGAGGCCCGAACCCGCAAGCCCAACCCGAAAAGGGCATGAACTGTCCTCGAAACATCGCGAAACGCAGAAAGCCCCAAAGAGTTCCCAAGGAGGCAGAAGAAGCCCCCTCAACCCTAAACCCTAAACCCTAAACCCCAAACCCCAAACCCTAAACCCTAAACCCTAAACCCTAAACCCTAAACCCTAAACCCTAAACCCCAAACCCTAAACCCTAAACCCTAAACCCCTAAACCCTAAACCCTAAACCCTAAACCCCAAAAGAGGTGCGACATGTGGAGCCTGGGGGCTCTCTGCTTCATGCTCATGGCTGGCATTCCACCCTTCGCCGGGGCACCCAGCACTTTTCTTGAAGATCACGGCTTCCAGGTTCAAGGGTTGAGGAGCTCAACCCCTAAACCCGAAACCCGAAACCCTAAACCCGAAACCCTAAACCCGAAACCCTGAACCCTAAAACCCTAAAACCCTAAATCCTAAACCCTAAATCCTAAAATCAAGATGCAATCCACTGCTTGCAGAAGCTACATGATGGTTTGCCGCTTGCAGGTTTCGGGTATTCTTGCTTCATGCGCCAGCTCCCGCTTGGGCTTCCTTGCATCTTTGGGCGACATGACCAGACTAGTGAGTGACTACTTGGGCTACTGATCCGTAGGGCAGAAAGCGAAAGCAGAGAAGAAAACACAACAAATTGTTTTTCAACCCATGAAAAGAAGGCAGGGGCGATGACGCGATGCTGAGATTCAGAGCCGGCCATTCCTTGTGGTAAAAGAGGTCTGAGGCACGAGGCTGAGGCGCTTGGGCGAACTTGAGGCGTGCGCCTAATTGCGGGCTCACGTAGTTCGGTGTTTCCCCGTGTTGGGATGAGCACAGATCCCATCTCCAAACTTGGAATCACGCCTGAACCCCAAGCATGCGCGAATCACCGTCAGCCTCTGCCTCTGCCCGCGCCAAGTTCGGAGAGACCGATGCCGAGACCCTTCGCCTGGTGAAAGCTGGCAGGTTGCGGGAGTTGGGGCCCGCATGAGTGCTAGGGGAAGGAGACATCTGAGCCAGGTTGCCCAGTCCGGCAGCTGATAGCTTAAGTACGGCATTAAACTGCATACTGAAGATGTCCTCAACCATGGAGAGAGGTTCGTCTTCAACTCCGGCCAGTGGCACGGAATTAACAAAGGCCGGGCAGACGCCTTGAACGGTCTTTGGGGTTTTGGTGGTGTCACCTGTCGGATTCTATCGGGCTTCTCTTCGAACATTGGCCTGGTGCCGGGCTCCGTTTATGAGTGCCTGTGACCACCTTTAAGCCACGCCCTTCAGAGCTTGGGAGTAGAGCGGCAGATCTACAAGGTCGTGCATCGGCGGGAAGTAAGCCCCAGCATCTGTGAAACCCTATGCCCTAAACCTTTGCGGCCCAAACTCTTGGGGCACTTCCCTTCACTACTGGGTGTGAGTACCTTGGAGCACTTCAGGGCTTAAGCGTATGACAGCGGAGCTGTGAGCCAATGCTCGTGGAAAGTAGGTTCGGGAGGCACAGTGAGAAGAGCTTGCAGGGCTTGCAGTTCTAGGATCCGCAGTGGCTTAAGATCCCAGCCGGCTCCAAATTTGAAGCTTGAGTTACCCCGTTCCCTGCAAGCTGCGATCTTGAATATCAGCGTAAACTGAAGTTTTCCGGCACTGCCTACCCTCTGCAATTCCAGGTTTACGGTAGGTTTCTGTCCTAGGATGCCTTGAGTATTGCCACCCCAACTCCAAAACAGCTCAATGGAAAGGCTGCAAGCACTTCATTCGACGATGTCTCGAGGTGGGTTGCCTGGAGAATCCATACTTGGAGGTTCATGGTACTTGTGAACCAATGATAACTGTACTTAATAACTGTACATCAAAATAGGGCACTTAAGGGGCTTATAGGTGGGCTATAAGTGCAGTTATAACTGGTTCATAAGGTGCCATGAACCTCCAAGCACAGTTTTAGGGTGAAGGGCTTTCGCTAATCTTCTGCCAAGCTTCAGGGTTGACGGTGGGAACCTGATGGGCCGATCTATGAGGGCGCTGCTGGTTCGGGTAGACTGAACGCTAATGTCCTCCACCCTGCGTTTCACCCCGAACCAGGGAATTCAGGTTTCGGCCCTAGGGGTTGAATCCTCGAAACTTGTTCCGCGGTTCGGCGTGTGGAGAGGTCGACTTCACCAAGAGGCTCACGGTTACCGAGGCTGCCGAAGGGACCCTTCAGCCCTCATCCCACCACCGCCCACTTGCAACTCTCAGGTTTTACCCCGAACGCCATATGCTTGGGATGACACAATCACGACCAAGGCTTTCTGTTCAAGGCGAGTTTGGATGCATCCCCCAACGCCCCATGCTGGTCCCCAGCACCCGTCACTTTGGTACGGGTAATCTGATATGCGTGTGCTACACATATTGTGTGCAGTATGACGCGGCAAAAGCTGAAACTGCCACTTTGTTACGGCTGCTCTGTGGTCCAGTGTTGCCTGAAACAAGACGAGGAGAGTTGTTACGAACTGTTAGCACATGTGGCATCAAGTTTCTTGCCCTAAACCCGAAACCCTGAACCCTAAACCCTGAACCCTAAATTCGGCATAAAAGTTTTCTTGCTTGGACTCTGTGGTTTGCAAGCCAATGCCGGAAAGAATTGTCTCGGGGCCGTGTCGGAAGCCGGCTTTAGGTTTCAGATCTTGCTCCGGGCCAGTTTTCTTATTCTGTTTTTCGGCAACATGTCGCACTATTTCGAACCAATTATTATTATTATTACTAGTCTTCTTCTTCTTCTTCTTACTATTATTGATGGCCGGCAACAGTTCGCTCCATCGCGAACCACAGTCCCTTGCCATTGTCTGTGCTCGTCTGTGGAGCTGCTTCCCAAGCCCGAACCTTGAAAGGATGAAGCGTAAGCGCAAGACGCCCTGCAGGCTTTGGACCACCCATGGTTGAAACACAAGTTCCGTGGGAAAGCGTGGCCCTCGAGTCGAGTCTTTGAGGGTGTTCCGGGTTTGGCTGAGCAAGCCTCATCCGTTGGCCTGAGAGAGTTTAGGCCCCCGGCTTGCTACCTTTCCATCCCTAAACCCTAAACCTTAATCCCAAAACCCTAAAAAACAAAAACCCTAAACCCTAAACCCTAGAATGACCAGCACTGGAAGGATAGGGGAGTGGACTTTAGATGCCGGGGTTGAGCGTGATCAGTGGCTTCAAAGGAAGGGCCCATGCAGGCACCCTGGATTCCAAACTGCGCGTGCAAAAAAACACCGGGTTTAGGGTTTAGGGTTTAGGGTTTAGGGTTTAGGGTTTAGGGTTTAGGGTTTAGGGTTTAGGGTTTAGGGTTTAGGGTTTAGGGTTTAGGGTTTAGGGTTTAGGGGACATCTTTGTGTGCAGCTGGCACCCATGAACTCATGAACCCATCACTTCATCTCCCGAGCCCTAAGCCTTGGATGACATCCCACCCCAATTTCAGTATCACACAAAAGCCTACAGTACCTTTTCCACTCTTCAGCAGCTTCAACAGACTAAGCATCCCCACAGCCAATCAGGTCATACACCTCCGGGACGAGACTGTGGAGCGCCTTGTATCGTTCTCACAGTACCACGACCTTAGGAGGCGCACGGGCGCGCCTTGCTTCTGGATGTTTGTGGCAGTTCTGTGAGTTGGGTTTGGGGTTCGAGAGATGATATGTGAGCAGCCCTGGAAGTGAGCTGGTGACCTTGCTGGTTTGAACGCTATGCTTCCCCTCCTCGGTTCCCCTGCCCGGTTCCCTGGAGTGCCCACCCGCAGATCTCCAGTTGATATGGTTGAAGGCGCTGTTGCAGTGTAGCTTCAAGGTTGCAGTGAGAGGAGACGAGACAAGTCGCAAGTTTTCCGTCAGCCAGCAAAGCCGAATGAAACACATATACAACTTGTAACAGACAGGAGTGGAAAAATAGTGTAGTTTTCGGGTTGATCTGCCACCTGGCTTGTAAAGGGGTACAACCCTAGCGATAGGACCATCCTCAGGAGCTTCTTCAAGTAACTTGCAAATGCTTTCGTGGTCTCACTCTTGCCATTTCTGTCTCGGGTACCGAAAGGCCCCAGAATTATGTCCCAACACCCCTGAACCCGAGCCACCTAAAGGTTGATGGGTTTAGGGTTTAGGGTTTTGGGTTTAGGGTGTTGGTTTGGGCCAAGAGCTGCACTGAACTCCCTCCCGTGTGCCCACGCTGTCCAGGGCGGCGATGTTAGCGGTGGCTTTTCACATGGACGCAAGGGCCCCGGATTAGGGTTTGGGGTTTAGGGCTTAGGGCTTAGGGTTTAGGGTTTAGGGTTTAGGGTTTAGAGACTGAACCCCAAAAGCCGGAGGCATCGGTCCCGATGAAATTTGGGCTGTGCAGTTCAACCCGTCGTTCCATGCTTTTTTGCACTGAGGAGCGGTGCCCTGCTTGACAGGTATGTGCGTTTGACAACTCCAAATCAGTAGACCCTAAACCCTAATCCCTAAACCCTAAACCCTAAACCCTAAACCCTAAACCCTAAATCCCAAACCCTGTTTAATGTCCCTCTCTGTCAGCTTCCTGTCAGTTTTTCTGAATCGCCATTGAGCAACACACTCAGCCCGAGCCCTTGTCCACGTTAGTCCCAGATAGCCCTTTCTGAGAACGTTGGTGAGCCAGGAGTCGGAAGACGCAGCCCTAAACCCTAAACCCTAAACCCTAAACCCTAAACCCTAAACCCTAAACCCTAAACCCTAAGCCCTAAACCCTAAACCCTAAACCCTAAACCCTAAACCCTAAGCCTTTGGGAGCTGAGGGATGCTTCTGGTGCTTTAGTCGCGCGAGGCGGAGGACCTTCACCAGCTCCGGGAGCTCTTTCGCGGGCCTTGCTGGGCTGTTTGCTTGGACCCATGAAACCCGAAAACCTGTTGTGAGGTACGAGGATTCCGTTTCAATTCTTTAGGGCTAGTGCGTGTCTTACAAGTTGGCGTTAACGGTTGGCTGAAGGAGGAGGCCCCTCAATTCTCGGGGGCCGCCGCGCCAGGCTGGACCTCAATGGGGATGGACTCCTCACAACCCAGGAGTTCAGCACCGGTGTCAGGGCCCCGAGCAGTCCAGGGTGGTGCGGTTGCAGGTAGAACTTCAGACTTTAGAGCTTCAGATAAGCTACCGTTTGCCTGAGCCAGCGGGTTATTGCAGCTGCATTTGCACCCACCCGCGTTAGAGGTGGCGCGGAAGGGCGGCAAGACAAACTGGGATACAACGTTGCGGACGGGGCAATGCTGACTCACGGTCTGACAAGCGGCGTCTGCACTTACCTCAGGAGCATCTTTAGGTTTGACAGCTGTCAATTGGGCTTACTTGGGAGTCGAAACACCATCACCTGGAATGCCCTCATGTACAGAGTCACCAGGCTGCGGAGCCCTAGGGCCCCGAAGGCTGGATGGGGCTCATCGTTAATCGGATGGCGACTACATTCTGACCACAAGCATGTGCTGGGGTGCGAGCCGCTCGGCGGCACCGTCGGCATGAACCAAGCCACCCGTTGACCCGCCCGCCAGTTTTATCTGCTTGCCGCTTTTTTCAGGAAAACGTGTAGGCGAACTGCCGAGGCTGCTGTATCTCTTGCTCGAACCGGCTCCTATTTCGTAGCTGTTCTCGATGATCCAAGCTTGTTTGGTGGAACGGGAATGTGTGCTTCGACCCTAAACCCTAAACCCTAAACCCTAAACCCTAAACCCTAAACTCTAAACCCTAAACCCTAAACCCTAAACCCTAAACCCTAAACCCTAAACCCTAAACCCTAAACCCATGCTGAGGTCAGATCCTTGGGTGTGGACTCCGAGCTGCTGCAGGAGATGATCCGCACAGTACGCCCTCTGAGACGCAAGGGGACATGTCTTGCCAGACAGCTCCTTTTCCCAATTCCTAGGGATCAGGGTTTAGGATTTAGGGTTTAGGGTTTAGGGTCTTCCCATAACCCGGGCCGAGTTGGATGCGGACCATTCCGGTGTCATCGACTACACTGAGTTCCTGGTTCAAGCCCCAGCTTCTTTCAAGCTTTAAGCTGGCTGTCAAATGCTGTCAAGACTGACCAAGAATGCCAAGCCCTGGAGCCCTAAACCCTGATGAGGTTTCAGCGATTGCCCGTGTAGCGATTGAATGGGTCGTTCAGGGTTCTTCAGTTGGCCATGAAAACCTGCATAGGCTCTGCACCTTCCAAGTTGCACCTCATGAGGTGACTCAGGTGTGGTTCCGTTGCTGATGGAAGGACCCCAATTGCCAAATCCGTTCATCAGTATGAGCCTCATGCGATTGATTGTATATACATATATATATATATGCACACACACCTTTCCGTGACGAGAAATTCATCCTTGGAAAAATTGCCAGGGCACTGGAATCAAAAAAGGACTTGGGAACAGAGACCCCTTTCATCATTTTGTCGGCAAACTTTTCGCGTGTGCCTTTTCCCAAGAGTAATGGTAAACATGGTAGACTGCTAGGTTTGTCTGATTGGTGAAATGACAGACCTGTTTTGCAGATGGATGCCGCGACCAGGTCGTCCCAAAGCCATTCTGTACTGCTTTGAAACTTTCGACAATGCGCTGCTACAGTTGCTGATGCTGTGACGCCAGCGGCCAAAGCCCTGGCACCAAGCTCTCATTGTTGCCCTAAACCCTAAACCCAGACCCTAAACCCTAAACCCTAAACCCAAAACCCTAAACCCAAAACCCAAAACCCTAAACCCTAAACCCTAAACCCCTAAACCCTAAACCCTAAACCCTCGACCTCTACTGCCAAGGCGGCGACGCTGGAGTGGGCAGCCCAGAGCCCTAAGAGTCTTCAGAGACCCGCGAAGTGTTTTGTGGCTGCGTGGACATGTCGGGACTTTTGAGACTTACTCCCTCAGTTCTTTACCTGCGTTTTTTTTGCCGGGCATGGGCTGAGGACGGTTCTGACCTTGCGTATTCATATCCCCGTTGTAGTCTAGGCCAGTTCTTTTTTGAATTGCTTGCTTGCGGCAAGTTTACCGGCTGAGTTGTGTATTGAGTGTGGTTTTGGGGGAGTCAAAGCTCACCCAGATCACGAGCCGAACAGCCGACCAAGGAAGCCCATGTACATCGACAACCATGCTGTCATGCTTCGTGCCTTCCGTCAGGGCCCCCAGCTATACGCGATGGCAACTCGAAACCCAAGACAACATTGAAAGATGGTGCCCTGGAAACCTAACATCCTCTTGCAAGCGACTCGGGTCTCTTCAAGTAGGGCTATGTTGGGAAGACAGGGAAGACTAGCAGCGGGAAATTTCGAGCGCGAGAACTCGCGGTACCGTCTTGGCCGCGTTGCCTCCTTGACCGTCTTGGCATGTCTTGGCCGCATGGACCGCTTTGATCACCTCGGTCTTCTGCCAGAGTCAAGCGGGTCAGGAAGGTCAGGAAGGTCAGCGTGGACCCCTGTAAACGTCTTGACGACCTTGACCGCCTTGACCCGCTGTTCTACGGACAAGAGGGTCAAGAGGGCCAAGAAGGTCAACCATCAAGGCTCTGCTTTTTCAAGACTTGTTAAAGCCACCGCCCATGCCGCTTCTCTCTCAACACCCAGCGGCCGGCACCATCTTTCTTTCCGCTAGACATCGCTAGGCCCTTTGATGCACCCGGTCCCAGGGAGCTTTGACCAAGACGACAGCGGAGGCCTCACGGCACAGGAGGCAGATGTTCCTTTAGGCATCAAAGTTTCGCAGGTTTGCAGAGATTTTCGGGGAGGCTTTTGGTTTAGGGCTTTTGTGACTTTTGGGAGTCTGCAGGAGTTTGGAGCAACGGAGCAATGCTTCTTCAAAAAGCCATCCTGAGCAAGAGGGCACATGAAGGTAGAGTGGAGCCTACAAGCCTTGAGGGCCATGCGTGTTCCACGATGTTCCACGATGTTCCACGATGTTCCACGATGTTCCACGATGTTCCACGATGTTCCACGCTGTTCCACGATGTTCCACGATGTTCCACGATGTTGCACGATGTTGCACGATGTTCCACGATGTTCCGCGATTGCAGCCGACCCTGAAGACCCCAACCCGAAACCCGAAACCCTAAACCCTAAACCCCTAACCCCTAACCCCTAAACCCTAAACCCTAGACCCTAGACCCTAAACCCTAAACCCTAAACCCTAGACCCTAAACCCTAAACCCTAAACCCTAAACCCTAAACCCTAAACCCTAAACCCTAAACCCTAACCAAACAGCGAAGAGTAGGTCGCAGAGACGATCGACCTGGAAGAGAGCATCGAGGAGGTGGAGCGCATCTTCGAGGAGGCCTTGCCAAGAAAGGGATGTGGGGGTTTAAGGGTTTAGGGTTTAGGGTTTAATCCCCAAATATAGATCCCCAAATAGTAGGATCCCCTTATACTTGGACCGCAAAAAGGGTACCCCCCATATCGTAGACCCTCACGTGAGGCATGTGTTAGTTGGGTTAGGGTGGTGTGCATGCACAGGAAGTATCAGCTTTAGGGTCTAAGGCATGTCGAGTCTCGCGGTTTGAAGGTACTCATGGTTTGTCATGACACAAACACTAAACTTGTACATTCTACATGTTGTTTTTCACGTTTTTTTACCAAGATTCGGTACTTCTTCAGCTTCGATGATTCTCAACTTTGGCGCCGGAACCATGTTTGTATTCTGACGGTGTAACACCTTGTGTGTTGCTTTCGAGCGTGGGGGCTTTGATGCTTCTTCTTCTTCTTCAACACTTGTTTGCGCAGGAAGGCAACCCTAAACCCTAAACCCTAAACCCTAAACCCTAAACCCTAAACCTTAAACCCTAAACCCTAAAGCCTAAACCCTAAACCCGAAACCCTAAACCCTAGAGGTCACCTTTCCAAGCCTTCTCGCTGCGAGGTCGATGTGAATCGCGATGGCGTGGGCCCTCGGAATCTCAGAAACAAGGATAAAGTGCATGCAGGGCGAAAGAGCAGGGTGTGATGCGCTTGCAGGCATGTCCTGAAAGTAGATTCGATGAGGGTTTAGGGTTTAGGGTTTAGGGTTTAGGGTTTAGGGTTTAGGGTTTAGGGTTTAGGGTTTAGGGTTTAGGGTTTAGGCTGTGCTTCAAAAGCAGTCGGGTAGCTGCTGCATGCGAAAGGTTTTAACCCAAGCCCCCACCGTAGACCCGAACCCTCACACTTCAGACTGGTTGCTTGCATTGCAGAAAAACCCAAGCCCCCCACTTTTGAATCTGTATGTGTCTGGTCTTGTAGTAAACAATGCCAACTATGCACCACTCAGCAGTGCTCTAAGCTCCAGGCACAGGCTTTCGGGGTTTCAGGGCGGGCTTGAGATCTTTCAAGAACTTTTCGAGAATCGCGCGACTGCACTTGCTGGCACAAGCACGCGAGAACGCTCAGACATACCGGGCTGCATGGAAACTTGGGATGCTGGGGCCTGTGGAAGAGGAGGTTTCGGAGCACAAAGAAACCTGACGAGCCGATACATGAAATCAAGAAGCATGAGGCTTGAAGGGTCCCACGTATAAGTATACGGGTCAAAGAAGAGCTTCAGCTGGATGTGAACTTTGGCTGCAGACATCTCAGATTCAGAAAATAGCAGAATACCAGACGAACCAATTTTGAGTCGGCTGTCGTGTCCTGCATGCTGCTTAGCATGGTAGTAGCTTACATGGCCTCTGGCCGCTGACCGTCCTGGTGGCTTGGAGCCTCTCATGAGATGGTGCGCCGCACGGGCGATGCACCCTCTGCTTCCGAGCGCCATCGCAAGCGTGTGCCTGTTGCTTACCGTTATTTAGTAGGGAATGAGGGAATATGTAAGGCACCCTATATCCCCCTACATATGCCCTTTAAGGGATTATGTAGGGTACCTCATTCCCTCATTCCCTACGAACGGTAAGGTTGCTGGTGTTATGGTGGGCAGATCCCCCGGCCAGCAGCGGGTCGCCTGCCTTCGGTGCAGTCTACAGCCCCAAGGTCCTGAAGGCCATGCGAAGGATAAGGGGCCCCAGGAAGAAGCCAGCGTCCAGGAAATGGCCCGATGATCGCCGAGGACCCGGCCCGGAGCGGCGAAATCGCCGGGAACCGGGCCCGGAGGGCCGAAATCGCCGGGAGCCGGGGGCCCTGACGGCCTCGAAGTCTGGCAGAAGGGCCTTCCTGATGAAGAGGATTCAGGACCCGAAGATCCGGGCATCCGAGCTGCGGAAGGTTGCGACGGAGCTGCTGGGCCTGATCAGCGACCATCGGGACTTCAGCATGGCCGTTGATGTGCTGAGCCGTCGGCGCCAGCACGACCTGATGGACAACTATATCCCCCTTGGCAAGTATTTTCGATTTTTTGTTTATATGAAACCCTAGAGGATATTAAACATCTTATTTTTGTTGAGGTTCTAAGGGGAGTATAGGACAAGATGATCAATGACATGGACACGCGGCTTGGGCCCAATGTGGTGACCTACAGCGTGGCGATCAAAGGACCCGCGGTCTTGTGTTCAGCTGTTGTCGCTTTGAAGAAGAAGTGCGGGGTTTATAGACGGCTAGAGCTTTGTGTCCAGGAACCCTAAACCCTAAACCCTAAACCCTAAACCCTAAACCCTAAACCCTAAACCCTAAACCCTAAACCCTAAACCCTAAACCCTAAACCCTTCAGCGGTCAGCGGTTGCTTTCGGCCTTTGGAGGACTTTCCGGTTCTGGCAACTGGGCCCTGGCCACCCAGCTTCTGCAGCAGCTGGACGAGAGGGCCGAAGGTGGGCCCCAGTCACCGAATCGAGGTCTTGATTGGTCATAATCATGATAATAGTCGTCATAAGACTATAATATTTACTGTATAATCAAAAACAACATAATATGTAGTCATCATCAGAATAAAGGTGATAATGGGAAGAATGATCATGGTTCTACCTCGCGATGTCCCTGGTGGAAGGTTCCAGGTCACGAGAGCGAGCCCCCCGGAGCTACCCAGAGAGCCCAATACCCCTTAATTAAAGAATATAGCCCGAATTATAAAGGGATCCTGATTCTGATTTAAGGAATGTTTCCTTAACTAAGGGGTATTGGGCTCTTTGGGTAGCGGAGTATCTTGCCAGCCGTCAGGTTGAGCCAAGAGGGGTGGTGGGGGGAGGGGGTCCAGAAGGCCAGTTGTCATGTTGTCATTGGGGCTGATTGTTATACTTGGTTGTTGTTATTGCTGTTCTTGTTATGATTATTTCTACGATGATGATTATTGCGATTTTAGCATTATTATTACTATCATTGAAATCTTAGGGTTTAGGGTTTAGGGTTTTTAGGGTTTTTAGGGTTTAGGGTTTAGGGTTTAGGGTTTAGGGTTTCTGCATCTCCAAGCACAGCGTCGAAGCCATGTACGGGTGAGCTCAATGCAAACGCATCCCCAAGAGCAGCATCGAAGCCATGTGGTGAGTTTAATGTTCAGGGGATTCTCTGCACGGTTTAGGGTTTAGGGTTTAGGGTTTAGGGTTTAGGGTTTAGGGTTTAGGGTTGAATCTCTCTGCAAATATATACTCTTAAGGTTGGGCACTCCAGGGATTCTTTGGCGATACTTTGGGTTGCGAAATCCACGGGATTCTCAACCTAGGGATTCGGTGGGGATACTCCGGCATTAAAGGCTCCTGGGGGTGCTTTTGGGGTTGGGCACTCCGACTGCGGGGCACTCCCGAATTTCGCTGGGGATGCTCTGGGGTTGGATACTCCAGCAACTCTCTGCCGATGGGAGTCAAGTGCAAGTCTCGCACTTGCCTGTTCGGTCGACGCTGGTTTCCTGTGGCTTCTCCAGAAACTGCACTGGCTGTCGTTCCTGCCGTCCCCCCCAATAGCTTTAAGTTTCGGCTTTAGGGTTTGGAGCAACCAGTCCTCAATGTGAAGTCCAAGCCCTGCCAAAGCAATAATACTTGTTTTTGGCAAGTGGCCCCCGAACCCCCGCTGGCGCGGCAGGATAACACAAAGCATGGACTACGCAAACCAAAATGCGGGGTTCCCTGCGTCGTGTAGGGATGTGGCCTAGAGCATGCTGTCCACCCAGCCAAACAACAGAAGCCTGCATTTTTCTCCTTGAGCCAGAGCCCAGGAACGTGATCACTTACAACACGGCCGCTAGACCTCCCTTGGTTGCAGGTTCAAATATTTTCAGCTTGCTTTCGCTGGAGGCGGTGCAAGAGCTTTGACGCACTCGGGGTTTAAACGGCCCTTCCAATACCACTTAGACCCCCGCATGTCAAGCTCTCCAAGCAATGGACGAAGAAGCAACCCCGAACATTTTCCTAAACCCTAAACCCTAAACCCTAAACCCTAAACCCTAAACCCTAAACCCTAAACCCTAAACCCAGAACCCACACCCGAGGTCATCACTGCCCTAGCGAGGGAGAAGCAGTGGGAGGGCGCCCTGGCGGTCTTGGACGAGCTGCTGTCGAGGGATCTGTACCTCGGACTGACTTTTAGGGTTTGGGGTTTAGGGTTTAGGCTTTAGGCTTTAGGGTTTAGGGTTTAGGGTTTAGGGTTCACACAACCCTCAAGTTTTGTCAGGCTCTGCCGGTTCTGCGCCGGTTTTTTTTGGTTCCATGGCCTTGAGATTGTCACTGGGAATTAGTTAGCTGCAAGTTCAAGGCTCATCTTGGCAAGCCAAATGTACTGTAATGGTGGACACTGCCGCAGGACCTTGCTAACGAACCCTTCCCATGGAATCTTCTCCTTGTTCCTCTCTTTTCGGCCCATAGAACGGTTGACTTTTGTCCTTTCGTTCGTGTTCTAGAGGATGGACCACAAGCCAGACAAGATATTGAGAGAAGTGAATCAGCTGGGACCCAAAGAGCCCCTTTGAATGGGTCTGTTATGCCGTCCCCATCATCAGAACCAACTTTCGGTCATTGTAAATTCCTCGAATTCTTGCCAAAATAGCTCCTGTAGACAGTCACAGATGAACATCGATCTCCACGTGAATCTTGGAAATCCTTGTAAGTCTCTGTATTGCTTCTAGCATATTGGCTTTGCCGGATGCACAAACACCCCAGACATGAGCCTAGATCTAATGGGGCAGCGTCTGCACAATGCCTTCTTGGTGGATCCTGTGTTGAGACCCTTATTTTTGAATCACAATTCTGGAGGCCCAAAGCCCATAGCCATGTCAGTATAGTGGATCGTACCCTCACCACGGCCCCGTTGTTTGAACCAGTTTGTTGTAATTTGCTAGACCATCCAGAGGGCTTAAAGCGATTCTTTTACAGACCCGTAGGCAGCAATCCAGGAACCCCACCGAGTCGACGTACAGCGCGGCGATGACTGCCTGCAAAGGTGCGCAAAAATGGCAGACAGCTCTATGCCTGAATCTTGGCTGCAGGCTGTAGTTCGTCATGCAGCGTCGTCGGGTCTATGATCTGCAGCAGCTTTGAGAGTTTTGTGGGGGGGACCAGGGGATGTCTAGAAACTGTGGTGCACCTTTTGTGGCGCACCGCTGCATCCCAGCCTTCAGCGAGGAACGAGGACATGCTCAACCACGGCTTGAGGGGGAATCTGCTGACCTGGACGTGCCTCATTCAGGTGCCCCAGGGGCTGGCAAAGCAAGAGTCGAAACTCTTTTTGGCCACAGTATATGGTGTTTGGGTGGTGACGGTTTTTTCACATTCTCCTAAACCCTAAACCCTAAACCCCAAACCCCAAACCCTACACCCTAAACCCTAAACCCTAAACCCTAAACCCCACTAAACCCTGGGAAGTGTTGTCCGGAGGCCATGGAGTCGTCGGAGCCAGTGATGGCTGTGCGCGCCTATGGGCGCATGAAGCAAGCGGGCTTTCAAGCAGACGAGCAGCTTGGAGGGTTTAGGGTTTAGGGTTTAGGGTTTAGGGTTTAGGATTTAGGGTTTAGGATTCAGGGTTTAGGGTTTAGGGCTTGGACCCATATGGGGGTTT